AAATTAAAACCCAGTGAATAATTAACCCTTTTACAGTAACATATGAGCAACCTGTCTTTAAAGACCACCTGCCTATAGGGCCACTTTTAGGCAGTCCCAAGGCATAACATATGAGCAACCTATCTTTAAAGACCACCTGCCTATAGGGCCACTTTTAGGCAGTCCCAAGGCATAACGTATGAGCAACCTATCTTTAAAGACCACCTGCCTATAGGGCCACTTTTAGACAGTCCCAAGGCATAACGTATGAGCAACCTATCTTTAAAGACCACCTGCCTATAGGGCCACTTTTAGGCAGTCCCAAGGCATAACATATGAACAACCTGTGTATAAAGACCACTTTAAAAGTACCAACTCATTTTCTCCTGAACAAATATTATATTAAATGTATGAGTTGGCAATCTATAAAAAAATAATCCAACCTCCATATAAAGAGCATTTTAATGAAATCTCTTGGGGTGGTTGCTATACACAGGTTTGACTATATTACCTGGTACATGTATCATGTATGAAGTGTACTTACTTTATGCTTTGCAGAGTCCAGTGTTCGTGGGTCTATTTTACGAATATAGTTGGTCTCAGATGTTGCATAAAACTCTTCTCCAACCCTAAATAAACTGACAAGGTCATTGTCAGATTGATCTCCAGACACAAAATATGACATGAACTGTTCATACATACTCTTACAGGGGTCAGGCATGGAACGCGTTCCAAACTCTCCAGCCAGAACACGATTACGTCCAACAGCTTCATTAAAACTTTCACTTCGGACAAATTTATTCTGGTAAGTAACTGAGCCATTATTGATGTGCCAGCGGTGGAGAAGTCCTAGACCATCAAAGAAATGGTTATAATTTTCCCTTCCAAGTTCATAGCCAGCTGGACCATTGCGAAGGAAACTACCAGTTAACCAGTCTGGTATTTCACCTGCAGAAAACATCATAAAAATTGGAATAAAAATGATATTTGTATTTATCAATTAAGCACCATAATTTTTCGAGATAAACATTTTGTTTTTTTATGTGTTTTTCTATAATTGATAATTGTGGTCCAAATGGTCATAATTTTTTATCGGCTACAAGTCTTGAAAAATGTTAATAAATTTTGAAAACAAGCCATGCATAGCAGTCCTCAATAGTTATCAAACTTAATATATATAATTTTGTTTATATATACAAATAATAGTTCAAATATACATAGTCAGAGATATGGATCCAGAAGCTGATGCTTGATTATGGTGATTTTTTAACACTAAAATGATTGACATTCAGTCATCTTGTATTTGAACATCAAAGGAGATATTGCTGTGGAACAGCATTAATTAAAACAAAATAGCCACTAGTCTTCCATTTTGAGTACATCTGTATCTCTATAACATGATGTAGAATAAATATATAAAATTTTAAGTCAAATCATGTGAGAGATACGGCTCTAGAACCACATTCACTAAAACAAAATGGCCACCAGTCAGCCATTTTGAATAAGATTTGAAAAATAAAATGACGTCAATCAGGGACCCATAATGCCTTATGTATGTACCAAGTTTGAACAAAATCCATCCATAAACGACCAAGATTCAGTTCCACAATACAGAAATGCTATATTTTTGATAATGTTTTAGCACAAAGATGGCTGCCACTTGGCCATTTTGAATACAGGACTCCCACTGCCAAATCGCCACATAGTCAATCACACACAATCATGTAATTAGAATGCAATATTTATTGTGGTGAACGTGGTGATAACTGGAATAACTCACACGAAGTACTAACAGTCTATTGCACTGAGAAACAGACACTGAGCGTCGATTTGCATAACCACTATGTCTAATGAACAACTATTGAAAAAACTTCAAGAGTACTTGAAATTAAATTTTGTTACGCCGAGTTGGTTCGTACGTTTTCGTTGTAATTTTTATATGCTGGCAATAGCACTTCCAGGATCAAATAGGTCAATAAGTTTGTGCATTTCCATAACAATGGCATTCAAATGAACATTGACCAATTTTGGGGGGGGGGGGGGATGAGTTGGAGAAAAAATCTCAGGAGCAATGTTCTGCGCCAGAAACGAGAAAAACATGCTACTCCTCGTCACAAAATAAAATCATAATGGTTTCCATGCTACCCAAGGTTGAAGTATGATTCTGAAAAACTGTTCTTTTGTAAGTCGTGTATTGCAGCCGGTAGAAGCAATATCTTTACCAGAGGTAAACGATCAGAAAATCCAAAAGCAAACGATTTTTTAAAACATGAGAAAAGTAAAGATCATAAGTTCGCTGTGACAGCAGCAGACTACTGTTAATGAAGAGATGCCCCGAGCAGCGGCGATTGCGTACAGTGCCATCAAAGAGGCTATTGTGGTAGTCGTGAAGCATGTTCACTTTGTTGCAAAAGAAGATATTGCGAAAAGTAAAGTGAGATCTGTTAATGATTTTTGCAGAATTCTGGTGAATGATTGTAGATATTTTATTGGTTTCTTTTTTTTTGATTACATGTAAATTCCAAATGTATACGTAATATTTTTATTGGATATCATGATCATGTGACAATTATTACTGTAATCATTAGCTTTATATTTTTAAATAATACATGTATAGCAATAATTTGTGTTCTATTTTGTTATTATTATCAGGGGTGCAAGTCTTTAGAAATTCTGCGGCATTCAGAAAGAGTTTGTTATACGCATAGTACTAGTGTTGATGACATTTTTGAGTGCATTGCCGAAGTAGTTGACAATGAAAATATTTGGAAAATGAAGTCAGCTAAATTCTACTCGCGAGAATTAGATGAATCTAAAGACATTATATTTGCCAAAATCTCATGATCTACATCTGTGGTGAAAGATTGAAAGAATCACATTTTTTGAGTGTTAGCATGATATCTAGTGCAACTGCGGAGGCACTTTACGTAGAGGTGAAACATGTTTTTGATGACAAGAGCCTATACTTCTGTCAAATTTAATTTCACTGGGTACTGATGGTTACCTAGTGTTATGAATGTACAGAGAAAAGGATTAACAACTAATTTAAAGGACAATCAGTTTATTCTGTCACAACATTGCGCTGCATATAAACTTGCCCTAGCCAGTGGCCAAGCTGCAGACTGCATTCCTTACCTTGTTAAATACCAAGCAATGATCTTTATAAATATTATCATTATTCACCCAAGAATGAACTGCTGTCAGAAAATAATGGGTAAAAGTCAGTTGAAATATTACAAGGTGGTTATTATTCTAAAATAGTGTTTCAGCAATTTGTAGCACAGTGAGCTCACAGCACTCAAAGACGGTGTTGACAATAATAGGAACAATACCTGTGTGTCTGGACTTCTGAAGAATATGGCCAGATTTGATTTTCTCACTTGTCTTTTTTTTTTGTTATCGGTTGATGTGTTATCAGTTTTAAACACCACCTGTTTAGCTTTGCAGTCTGATGGTCTTACTTTTACTGAGGTTAAACATCACATTAATGCTTATCAAAAAGCTGTAGAAGACTTCAAAACTAAAAAGGATAGCAATTATCAATCTTTTATTGATACTATAACACATGATACTACCAATGATGCTGATTTGCCAACAGAAGTAATTCCATGGACACATTGTAACTGCCACTAAAAAACAAAGGGACAATTTTGCTAAGACGAGTGAAATATCCCTTAGTTGTCTCTCAGAAAATTTGGTTAATAGATTCCATGAAGATGATGACCAAATCAGTTCAGCCTTTGATATTCTGATACCTTCAAAACTACCAGACAATGAAGACCAGATTGCAGAATATGATACAGCTGAAATAGAAAAGTTGAGTGAGTTGTTTGGTACAAGTACCACATGTGTGCCCCCCCCCCCCCCAGTTGTAATTAATGAATGATCTATTTTCAAACATGTGATACACAAGTATAGACGGCAGTCTTTCACAGATTTTTGGGAGTGGGTTTCGAATAAATATAAATCTGCTTATCCAAATATTTGTAACATGTCCAGTTACTTCTGTTAATGTGAAAAGGGTTTTTTCTCGTTATAATAATGTGAAAACAGCACTGAGTGTCAAAATGTAAAATTTAGAGTCCTGACTAAACTGAGTCTAACTTTGACAACATTTTTCAACTTTGGTGATAGGAGAGCACTTAAACCAACATTTCAACAGAAAGTTCATGTGGAGAAGGCTGCAAAAACCATGCATTCTAGATATGGGGTGAGAATAACGACAAAATTAGCTTGGTGTCATTATTTGAACATGATGTTCATTTGGAAACCTCTTTGGTTATTGTTTGGTCATTATGCAGTTATTTGGTCTTAACTTAAACTTTATTTTGTGCTTATTCCATTATTGTATTATGACTGCAGCATTTATAACTTTATTTCTTATTTCGTTATTGTGTAATTGCTACAATATTAATTTGTCATTGTTTCATTATGTTACAATTGTGTTGTTATTTACACATTATCTTGATATTCAATTGTCATAAGATTTGGTTATTTTCACATCCAAATCTTGACATTCAGTTCGCTTGACTTGCAATTACCTCAATATTCGATTACCTGACCTACATTAGCTGACCCCACTATACATGTAGTATTCAATCCATAGTCCTGGGCCGTCTCTCATACATGTAAAGCATTGACCAAGATGGCAATGCAGCCTTTGTAAAAGTGTTAGAATGTATATGTGATTTACATGTATATTGTATTGTACTTTAAAAACTCTGTATACAGGTGCAGTCTAGAGCCACCTACAGTTGGATATTGTGTGTAATAAAAGTCCCCGGATGTTCTTGTTATACTTCCGGTTAATGGCAGTGAACTTATAGTTGGATGTTGTTTATTTTGCCTATATCTTTGATTAT